AGAATTTCTTGCAAACAATTTTTTTTTTGTTTGCAAGAAATTCAATTATCGACTTTTTACTTTCAGATAACTTTAAAGATATAAAATTTATTAAAAGATTGTAAACTTTTATATTTAGTACTTAAATACATATATACAGATTTTCATATTTTGTTTTATATTTTATAAATCTAAATAATTGACAAATTTCTTATTAATAAATACAATTTAAAAATGATTTTCACTTCAAAATATATTTTTAGTAAAAAAAACATTGTTTGACACAAACAAACCAAAAAAATACATAAAAAAATTTAAAACTCCGTGATTTTGATCAAAAGATTCGAATGTCTGAAAGGCTTCCTCTTGAATTTAGCTAAAGTTCTATTATAAATGAAAAATTAAAATCAAACGTTTTTGCTTTAAAATAAAATTTAAAAAAAACTTCTGACACCATAATTACCTAATTCATAAAATTTTATTCAAAATCTTTATGTACAACATTTGAAAATTAAATAAGCATAATTTCTTAACATGATAAAACAACAATTGTATTTTAAAACAATTCAAGCATTTCGAAAATATTTAATCAAAAAAATTTTTTTTGCCTATATCTTTGTAATATGGCAAAAATAATGGGAATATCAAGCAAAGGTTGTATGTAAATGCAGGTTAGTGCCAGAAAACAGAAAAAATAATTCGTCTGAGGATACAGAAATTTTGCTAATAAATAAAATAATTTTGAAATACAGAATTTACTTTAGTTAATTAGTTAATTAATATATTCGCACGGATGGCGTAGTGGTTCAAGCGGTCACCTCGCCGCTTACTACTGAGTGTTGTAGGTTCAATCCCCACATGGGACAACACTTGGTGTGATCTACAAATTGTTATTCTGAGTCTGAGTGTCCTTTCTGTCCGTTTCATGTATGTTTTTAAAGTCCCCCGCGACACAGGATATAATCCTAATGCGGAAGTTGTCTTTTTTTAAATACAAAATACATTTATGACATATATTTTAAATCTTTCGAGACAAAACTAGCTAAGACTGATCTTTCTGATGAGTTACAATAGGGTAGATGACTCACAAGTCAAATCTGTACCTTAGTACGCGGTACATTTTTGTATGAAATACTATTTCGTGACGTCACACCTAGCTATTGTCAAATCATTTATATTTACTGTTGATATCAAGATATTAAATCAATAAAGACATTAAATTAATAATGGCGGACAATTCAGGCTCTACTTTGGTATGTTACATTTAATGATTAAGGCGAAATAATTTATTTTAAACCTAGGAATCTACCCTATTTTGCTGTAATAACATTACACAAGCTTAAATATTTTTTAAGAACTGCGTTAAATTGTATTTATTTACCAAACCAACAAGCCTTACACTAAAATACATGTTAAGGTACTTTTTTCATGTTATAGCCTTAAAGCTGCCACGGCATGCATTTAAAAGTTTTTTACTTCAATTTTAACTATTAAATATAGTAATCACATTATTTAATTTCCTTGCTTAAAGTACAAGGCACTTTTGAAATATATTTATTGAGCAATGTTGGAAATGTTATTTATTTTACAATATTTATATTATAGGTTTTATTATATTACAAATATACTAGTTGACCCGGCAAACGTTGTATTGCAAAACAAAGAAAAAATAGGGATGGGTCACCCTTACCATTTAGGGATATGAAAAATAGATGTTGGCCGATTCTCAGACCTACCCGATGTGCACACAAAATTTCATGAGAATCGGTCAAGCCGTTTCGGAGGAGTACGGGAACGAACATTGTGACACGAGAATTTTATATATAAGATATATACCTATACAGCATGAGTTTTTTAGTTTTCATTACACCTTCTAAAACATCCTAAATTTTTTTGAAATATTGTTTATTGTTATTAAAAGACACGGTTTTTAAAGAAGGGTCTGATGGTCTGCTAAGCAAGGACGTAAGTTCGATGCCCACCCAGAACAACTATTATGTTATGAGCACGATCATTTGTTCTGTGTTGTAGTTGTAATTTATCTATAATATGTATGTATTTAGAAATATATAAGTATGTTTATCAGCATACAGCGCTAGATTGCCTTAAGGTAGACTGGGAGAAGTCCGCCATTGTACAAGTCTGTGCATAAAGAATTAAAAAAAAAAAACCTAATTTTATTCATCTAGAAGCTGCCTGACTCTCTTTAGCGAACTCCTACCTCTGCTGTTGACCATATGATTTGGTCTACATTATAGATAAGTAATATCTAATGTGTGGTGACAGACAGAGTGTCACCACCCCTATTCATCCCGTGGGTGTCGTACGAGCCGACTATGGGAACAAACTACGCAGGACAACAGCACTGCAAAGAGAAGGAAAACTTGAAATAAACCCTATACCAACCCGTCTGGCCAGCGTGGTATAGTAGGACAAAACCTCCTTTCTAAGGAGAGGCCTATGTCCAGCAGTGGACTAGTAAAGGCTGTGGATAATGGATGAATATCTAATGGAAGACGCAAAGCGTATGACTCAGTGTTGAAGTGCAGCAGCTCACTGTATTAATCCGATAACTAAAGGGCGTCATGAACTTGTAGCCATACCTACCTGTACTTGTAGATGAACCGCACGGATGGCGTAGTGGTTTAAACGGTCGCCACGCGCCGAGTGTTGTGGGTTCAAACCCCACATGGGACGACACTTTGTGTGATCCACAAATTGTTGTTCTGAGTCTGGGTGTTCTTTGTGTCCGTTTCATGTATGTTTGTAAAGTCCCCCGCGACACAGGATATATTCCTAATGTGGGAGTTGTCTTTTTAAAAAAGAGAAAAAAATATTACTAGAGATAGAGGCTTTATATTAGGACTAAAACTCATTCCGTATAAATATCATACTTTGGGACCCCAAAATGGTAGGTATAGTACTTATAATGGAAGCTCCACTTTATAAATTTATTATAGTTTATACGATGGGAGAGGCTTATGTCCAGCAGTGGACTGCGATAGGCTGATGATGATGATGATGATAATGTATACCTTTTAGGTACTTACTTTATATAAAACAGTGGTATGATACATTTTTTTTAACTTTCCCTTATATTTTTGTATTAATTAGGTCAACAGCTACAAATTCTAATTACTTAAAAATACATACATGCAAAAAATGTGTTTTTTTTAAATATAATAGTCAATTTGGTTCCCTAGCCGCGATCCTGACACCATCATAACAGCTTAATATTCTTTCCTAGCAAACATGAACCTAACAAACAAAAAACAAAAATAACGAATAGATTTAAAAAATAAACATTTTCGATTGGACGTTTGATTTCGTTTCAAGGTCACTGATACTAACTTTTTAATATATATATTTTATTAATTGACTAATAAAAAAAATGCAAGCAAATGGACCGTGCGGTGCAGAAATGATTCAATTCCTAAACTGGACAAATTGGAAGTATATATTCTTATGGAAAAAAAATATTGGAAGAAATAATTAACCTTTTTTTTAATGTCTACTAGAAACCGAAATTACTAGTATTATTAACCCCTTCCGCTAAACTAAATTGCTTGTGTTAGGAGTGGGTTCACGTCACGTCGGTTTTGAACCCACGACCTCTTAATCGCAAGTCCAATGCCTTAACCACTAGGCTACCGCCGCTTCACCCTACCACTTGGATTGTAATATGTCTGCGCAACACGGTTCAATTTTTGTCAACATTTGTTATCCGTTCTTGTCCAGCTCACTAACAATGGATTAAGTAATCATTAATTAATTATTCAATTAATTAATCAATAAATTAATTGAACAACTAAGTAATTAATTGAAAAATTTATAGTCAAGGAATGAATGAATAATTATATCCTACATAATATTATATTAAAAACAAGCAATTAATGCACGTACTATAATAATTATGTTACAAAGGTAGAAATTAATCAACCATCTAACCTATGCCTTAATATTAAGCTGCATACAGACATGGCGATTATCACATCGCAAATTGTTTGCTCAGTACGCTAACGCATTATAGACAAAAGACAAACTCTCTGTATATATTTAATGGAAGTTCATTTAACGTGCAGTTAATCTGCGAACTGTAATTATGCGTTAATACTTATTTCTGTATAAAATACCAGGATTAGTATTGCGTGTTCTCGAGTTTGAACTTTTTTTCTAGAGCAAGAATTTAGCTGATCTAGAGTTATTTACCAATATTATTAATTGGCTAGTTAGTTATAATTTAGAACAGATAAATAAACTTTATACTAGCATATAGACTCTAGAAATTAAGTCAGTATGGATAGTGTCCTTGTCTGTGTCCTTGGTCCGTGTGGTGACGGTTCAAGAATACAGAGTGTCACCACCCCTATTCATCCCGTGGGTGTCGTAAGAGACGACTTAGGAGAGCAAACTAGAGGACAACGGCATTGCAAAGAGAAGGAAAACTTGACACAAACCCTATACCAACCCGTCTGGCCAGCGTGGTATAGCAGGCCAAAACCTCCTTTCTAAGGAGAGGCGTATATCCAGCAGTGGACTAATAAAGGCTGTTGATGTGATGTATAGCCATCTTGCGACAAAGAATATTTAAAACAAATTTGGACTTCTCATTCGACATCCTGAAGCCCATTAACAGCCTTACACTGACATACAAACCACGCATTAGTAAATTATAAAAACGTTAAGTGAGAGAGGCCATGTGTACATGGTTATTTTTTTATTTTTATTTTTTATTAATGCTTCATGTCTATACACGGCTTTATATCAGACATACAACACCTTAATATTATTAAAATGTTTTAAGATCGTTTATTAATTTCTGGGACTAAATTCGATTAATATTGAGACTATTACAAAATAATAATTTAAAGTACAGAAAAATTATATATATATAAGTATGTATGTACAAATTATAATAATCTAAGCACTTATAGAAGAGGCCTATGTCCAGCAGTGGACTGCGATAGGCTGATGATGATGATGATGATGAATATATACAAAACCACTTTGGTCACACACATTTAGTCCCTAGCCGTATTCTCCTCCTCGGGCAGTATCGGTGAACTTTCAGAAGACTTCAGCAATTTCAATAATAAAACTGCTATACCTGTTCCTAGGAGAGCTACACCAATTGCCTGGAAATAAAAGAAATTATGATGTTTTAGAAGATATTTAGATTTTTTTATGTCACGACCAAAATACGGTTCTGCGGCTAATATGGCCAGCCCACTGCCACTTCAGCTTGCTGATCCGGTAGGCTACGTCGGTGACCTTGGTTCTCGGGCCATATTAGCCGCAGAGCCGACAACCGTGGGGGAAAACGAGTTCTTGGGTGGAGACCGCGTCTCGGCAAACGTGGTGTGGGACGCCCACAGGCCAGGTGGAGTGACGATGTGCGCAAGATGGCTGGAAGGAGCTCAATGCGAGAAGCCCAAAATCGATCTAAGTGGCGTGGAATGGGAGAGGTGTATGTCCAGCAGTGGACTGCGATAGCCTGATGATGAATGGTGATGAAATGAATGACGACATGTCATATTACAATACGTCACGGTATGGTATGAATCGACACACCACATGTTCAAAGAATATAGGGCCAGGATGATTATAGGGTCCCGAACCTAGTCTCACGAAAGCAGAAATAGTACTCAAGTAAGTAATATTCCTGAGTAAGTACCCACATGCAGTCAAAAAATTGGACCAGACTTGAAACAGATATGCCAAGCAGCAGTTTAGGAATTAGATAGGAAAGTATTGTAATAGGAATCATTATCATCAGCCTATTGCCGTCCACTGCTGAACAAAGGCCTCCCCCAGGAAGCACAAATATTAATAATATTCGGTAATAGGAATTGGACATATAATTGGAATTAGAATAGAAGTTGGAATAGGTATAGAACTTGGAATTGTAATAGGAATTGGAATATTTATTGGAACAGGAATAGGAAACTGGAATAGAATAGAAATAGCTGCAATGAGATGGAACTTCGCATGGGTACATACATAGTTTCGGAGCACTTCACGCAGGGTTTGTATTTCGTAATTAACGACGTGACATAAATTAAATTCAAAATCCCCATTATTGTCCCCGACTTTGGATCCTCGGTTGGTATCATAACGTTTCGTAATCCTTCACTACATCACGCTGAGTGTTGGTAGTTCAATTCCGGGACGGTACAATAACATCATTTTACTCGTTTTAGGCCAAAACCTCCTTTCTAAGGAGAGGCCTATGTTCAGCAGTGGACTATTAAAGGCTGTTGATGATGTTGATGACTCGTTTTATACAAGTATTATAGAATTGTGTTAGAAAGTGTGGTACTCACAGTGAGGGCGTAGAACGCGTAGGGTATCCAGTACCTCATGCGCAGCGCGAACCTCGCCACTCCGGCGTACTCCTCCGTCGTCTCCATCTCTTGGCGGAACCAGAACATCGGCACCAGCGTGTCGTTGTCAGGCAACTGGTTGTTGATGCTGACGAAATTAAAATATTCTATTTGAATTAAACTAAGGCAAGTTTAATATTCATGATTATCCAAGATTTAACAAAACATGCTATAGCGCCATCTAGTGAGTACGAGCCGAAGTACATAGTGAATGCTATTTCTGAATCGCGATAGCAAAAATTCGCACGACGCTTGCTTTATAAACTATATTGTGAGTATTTAAAAAACGAGACACTAGAACAAGAGAGATGAGATGACTCTGGTGACCTAAGTAAAGGTTGAATTTATTTATATCCCTATCGCCAGGGGTGACATATACCAGTCTGCCGTCACCAGCTCTTACAACTAAATCTATGCAGGTTCATAACGCGACCCACCAGAAAAACTGACAAGTAATAATCATTTTACAAAACCCGTTCGGGTCGATGGAACCTCTATAGAGAGATAGACCACACAGATGGCGTAGTGATTTGAGCGGTTACCTCGCCGCTTCCTTCTGTGCTGAGTGTTGTGGGTTCGATCCGCACATGGAACAACATTTTGTGTGATCCACACATTGTTGTTTTGGGTCTGGATGCTCCTTGTATTCGTTTCATAAACGTCTGTAAAGTCTCCACACAGGATATATTCCTAGTGAGGGAGTTGTAGGGAAAAAACTAAAATAAATAGCGGTGGAGCCAAAGTAAGAGAGAACAGAGAGTCAACTTACGTGAGTCCCCCATAGTGACGAACTAACAAATTGATCTGCAACTGCGCCGACACCCCCAGGGGCATGCCGGTGAACATCTCAAGCGTCAGTCCGAAGTTCATATCCCTGAAACAGCATTATTTGTAAATACTAAAAAATACATTTTCCTTTTTCATGATATACAATTCATTATGTAAGGCATTTTAAAAGAATTTGCTAAAGTTCAGTCAAAATTTAGTTCCGATATATTCTCGATCTCACAAATAGAAAAGGTATTCTCGTAGTAAAATATTAAACATTTTTGAACAACCAAACAACACAACACAAATGTGAATATATCGTATTGTGACCGAAAGTTGAATCGGTATTCTGCTAGTAATGCTAATATAACTACGAATGTAAGTGAATGCTTCGGTGGTGCAGTGGTAGCGTATGCGACTGCTGTGCTGAGGTATCGGATTCGAATCCCGGGTCGGACCAAATGTTTGTTTGATTTGGAAATAATTGTTTCGGAGTTTTGGTGTTTTCTATGTATAGTATTTTGGGCAAGGGCAAGAAGGCAAGTATTTTTTTATGTATAGATGGGAGATACATTACCCTATGACCCTAACGAGCGAAACAAAAGCTGTAAAAATATATTTACTCAGTAGCGTTCAAGCCTTCGATCTTGCTAGGGTAGTAAGGGTCGGCGAGCAGGAAGTGCGGCAAGGACACGAAGGCGGGGGCTCCGAACCGGCACTGAGACACGTTGAGGGCGCCGGGCGGCAGGCAGTCGGGGTCCGACACCGGCCCATCGCAGAAACATGCCTGCAATATACATGTATCAGATTTTCTTAAGACAACCTTTTTTAACGATTTCCAAAGGAGAGATTTTCAATTTGATTGTATTTATTATTATTTTTATGTAAAATTTGTTCTTTCGCTGGTAGTATTTTACGGACAAAGTCAAGTAAATGCCACGAGTTCTTGGGCGAAGTTTATTATGTCTATTCATCTATTGCATTGTGTATTTGTTCATCTATTTGCAGAAATTTTCTTACGATTCTGCAAGTGTTTAGTATAGCAGCTTTTTGAAGAATCATGTAGGTATTGGGTTTCAGATCAATGAGTTTTAAACTATGGTGTATATGTTTCGGAATAATACCAGTCGTGGACAATACTATAGGGACAATGTATACCTTTTGTTGTTTCCAGATCCTTAAAACTTCATCCTTATTATTATTATAATATAGGCAGGCAGGCACTTGAAACAACTGATAAAGGCCTGTATCCTGCGAGATCTCTATTAGTTGTCCTTCTTGGATTTAACTGAATATTTGTGTAGTCCGTGTAGTGACGGCGTCCGTGTAGTGACGGATTAAGAATACGGAATGTCACTACCCCAATTCATCCCGTGGGTGTAGTAAGAGCCGACTAAGGGCGCAAAACAACGCAAGACACCAGCACTGCAAAGAGAAGGAGAACTTGACACACACCCTATACAAACTATAATTATGTCCTTTTGTTTCTTGTACAATAGTAGTTTATCTATCTATCTCTGCGAATCAAATGTTCATACCAGGATAACCTTTTGATTCTCAACTTTTCATCCACTGTCTGTCTGAATGTCAGAGTTCTGAGGCAACAAACATAAAACAAAGAACGAAAAAACATAAAAAAGAACAAGCTTCCTGATGATGTCATATTTGTCCATAATGTGAACCAATTCAAAAATCAACTCCACAAATATTTCATCAATCATCATTAACAGCCTTCCACAGTCCACTGCTGAACGAAACATATTTTGCATCAACAATTTTTAAACTTGTAACGAAGCTTACAAAATTTAAACAAAAAATGAATAGTCATTACTATATTTATAACCTTAAGAGTGAACATTATATTAGATAGGGCAAAACGTGACTGCATTCCAACATCTGGCGTCATCGCCCTGAATAAAGACGGAACAAGAGATAACATTTCTGATAATTTATATAAAATATTCACAATAAACTTTAGATAGAGAATTAAAACATAAATCCTGGGGGTGTCGTAAGAGCCGACTAAGTGAACAAACTCTGCGGGACAACAGCATTGCAAGAAAGAAGGAAATCCCTATATCAACTCGACTGGCCAGCGTAGCATAGTAGGCCAAAACCTTTCTAGGGAGAGGCCTGTGTTCAGCAGCAACTCAGGAATCACAAACGCTTTGCCGTCCTTTTAGGAAGGAGTACGCTCTTTTCTTGAAGGTTTGAAGGTCGTATCGGTCTGGAAATACCGCAGACGATAACGTGTTCCTCAGATTGGTTGTGCGGGGCCAAAAGTGTATTGAAAAGCGGGCAGCAGTGAAGCGCCAGTTATCCAGGTGATGAGGATGAAAATTTTGCCGTGTGGAACGATGGCGGATAGTTGCGGCTGGTATTAGTCCGAACAATTCCTCGGAGCACTCTCCATGATATATGCGATAGAGAATGCAGAGTGAAGCCACATTCTACGTAACGCCAAGGGTTTGAGCCGATTGGAGATTTATGGACCGGATCTCGGTTTATCGACGATTCGAGTCGATCTCCGTTGGATGCGATCCAGAGGGAGAATTCTTTATTTTGTAATAGGATTTACTTTATTAATTGGCATGACAGTAAATAATTGCTTATTTCAGTGGGAACTTTTCTTTAGTTTTTAAAGTATATCTTTTTTATATAATTAAACCCACTATATCGTGTTAAATGAGCTGATCCCTGATCCTGGTGGTAAGAGGTTTCCTGTAGCTAGGCACACACACTTTCCTTAGATAGGCACACATAATACTTAGGAAGTACTGACGACACACTGTATAATAGTCCAAACCTTCCCCTACCTTTAGCTACCCCTTAGAAGAAATACTACTGGTCTGATACTGCATTGTAATCACGGTAGGTCAAATCTAATTAGAGAAATTCCAATATTTAAATAAAATATTATTTACAACAGATGACAAACAAAGAAACTCTTGTTGTGTTAGTAAACATAAATTTTACCATTCCAGTAGTATAAACTTTATAATGGCAACACTACTACTTGATATTATGACGTCAGAATGACACAAATGCGATCTGATAGTAATTAACTCATAGAATGACATAATACAAAGCCGAAAAAGATACCATTGTATACTGATATGTATCACCTTTAAACGAGCAATTCTTGTATATATATATATATATTATCTGAATCTCAGAAACGCCTCCAACGATTTTCATGAAATTTAGTATGCAGGGGGATTCGGGGGCCACCAGGGACTTCCTTTCTAGGGTATACCTGGTTCCCCGGCTATTAGTACCCGAGACGGCGTGCGGTTTTAGTCGGTTCGGGTCCGACATGCCACCGATAGGTGGTATCCGAGGGGATTATCTGGATGATCCGGGGATGATCCGAGGGGGGAGGGAAAAAGGGGGTGTCGGGGGCGATTAATCGATTTAGCCAGGTTTAATTATTAGAAAATTTACCAACCGGTCATCCAGGTACTATATAATAAGACTTGAAGAAAAATCTTTGTACCTCTTCTTAACACGGTTTATTATTAGCTTGACCTGTATGTATGTATATATCTATGTAACGGAACCTTGCAACCCAATTTTGACACACTTCAGAACGTTGAAATAAATTGAAACTTCGCACACTTATTAAGGGCCGACGACAATGATTTGATAATTTTGGCCCATTATCCTAATCAGGACCTTCAGGATTAACGGTTTTTTTTCATATCTAAAAATACGGAAGTGCCTTTTGCTACGTACTAAGAGGTGTATGCTGAAGCATACGTGACTTACTTTCTTGTTAATTTTTTAGTCTTAATGAGAAAATAATCATCATTAATGACTAAAAAAGTAAAAATTAATCATAGTTCAAAAAACTTAAAAACACGCTTATGTAACTAGACTTGACCTCGTGGTATTACTCAGGTCGAAGCATGGCTCAGATTCATAAGATAGTATAATCTGCGGTATTTCCGGACCGATACGACCTTCAAATCTTCTTGAAAAGAGCGTACTCCTGAGTTGCAGACTTTCATTGGCGTCGGTAGTCACTTTCCATCAGGTGACCCGTCAGCTTGGTTGGGGGGGGGTTCATAAAAAAAACAGAGGCACTCCGGAAGTGCCGACAGAAGTAAAAACCAATATGTAAGTAAAGACGACCGGATGGCATAGTGGTTTGTGCAACGGACTGCTATTCCAAAGGTCGCGGGTTCGATTCCCGCTCAAGTCAAACATGTGTGTGCATGAACATTTAATGTTTGATTTGGTCTGGGTGTTTCTATGTATAATAAGTATGTATTTACAAAAAAAAAGTATAAATGTATTTATATCAGTTGTCTAGTACCCATAGTACAAGCTCTGCTTAGTTTGGGACTAGATGGCGTTGTGTGAATGTGATATAATATTATTATTATTATTATATACAGACGTAACGGTAACAGTGTCGCGAGTTCAATTGTTTTTCCCAACTCAAGAAATGCCCAACGCGCCTAATGAAGTTTTCACTTTAATATATACAGAGGAGTCGGTAACGGTAACAGTGTCGCGAGTTCCATGGTTTTTTTCCATCTCAAAACAAAAATCCATTATTAATTTAATTTCATTTTTTAATTTAAAAAAAGACAACTCCCACATTAGGAATATATCCTGTATCGCGGGGGACTTTACAAACATACATGAAACTGACACAAAGAACACCCAGACTCAGAACAACAATTTGTAGATCACACAAAGTGTCGTCCCATGTGGGGTTTGAACCCACAACACTCGACGTAATAGGAAGCGGCGTGGTGACCGCTTAAACCACTACGCCATCCGTGCAGTATTTTGTTTGTTGTTCAAAAAACAACGCGCCAAAGTTTTCACTTCAATAAATAATAAGTGGAGTATTTAACAAGTAACAGTAATTTTTACACACCATATGTGGGTAGTGGTGTCCGTTGTCAAAAGTCGTTGCGTTGGCTGCGTACCGAACACCGTCGATGCCCTGGACAGTGACGTCGCCTACCTTGCTCAGTTGTATGAATCTGGAACATTAAAATTTCTGATAAACACTAAAATTTTATTACTGGTAAATTTAAAATTTCTCCCTGGCCTGTTGGTCGATCAGCTAGGGCTCAGCTAGAGGTTGTAGGTCCGACTCCCACCCTGGACAAATAATAGTGTGATGAGCACGATCATCTGTTCTGTGTGTGAGTGTAATTTATCTATGCATGTGTTCAGAAAATATGGGTATGTTTATCAGCAGTCTGGTTAGCACAGGCTCTGCCTAGTTTTAAATCAGACGGTCGTGTGATTATTATTATCATAGATTCAAGTGTAATGCCGTCTTTTGAGTGAGTACGCTCTTTTCTTGAAGGTTGGAAGGTCGTATCGGTCTGGAAATACCGCATACGATAACTTGTTCCACATATTGGTTGTGCGGGGCAAAAAGTGTCTCGAAAAGCGCACAGTACGTACTGGAGCGTCAATTATCCAGGTGAAGGTAACTCGGTGAAAAACAAGGAAAGAATTTGACTGCACGGATGGCGTAGTGGTTTAAGCGGTCGCCACGCCGCTTCCTACTACGCCGAGTGTTGTGGGTTCAAACCCCACATGGGACGACACTTTGTGTGATCCACAAATCGTTATTCTGAGTCTGGGTGTTCTTTGTGTCCGTTTCATGTATGTTTGTAAAGTCCCCCGCGACACAGGATTTATTCCTAATGCGAGTTGTCTTTAAAAAAAAAAAAATGGGTCTGTAAAGTCTGAAGAATCTGTGAGGTCGTGTTATTACTCTGGTCGAGCCGAAGCCTGGCTCAAGCCGGCCCATATATATAACTCTTATGTGCTAAAAAGAGACACAAAACTTTGCTTATGTGACCCTTGAAATTCTATGCAGATCCTATCTTATGCTTTTTATATCCAGACATATTTGTAATAATGTACTTGATGTATAAAACATGTGGTAACGAATTAAGAATACGAAGTGTCACCACCCCTGTTCATCCAGTGAATGTCGTAACAGCCAACTAAGGAACCAAACTACGCAGCAATGCAAAGAGAATTAAAACTTCAAACAAACTCTGTACCAACCCGTCTGGCCAGCATGGTATCATCAACAGCCTCGCCTTAGAAAGGAGGTTTTGGCCTACTATATCACGTGGGCCAGACGGGTTGGTATAGGGTTTGTTTCAAGTTTTCCTTCTCTTTGCAGTGCTGTTGTTCTGCGTAGTTTGTTCCCATAGTCGGCTCTTACGACACCCACGGGATTAATTAGGGTGGTTACACTTTGTATTCTTAATCCGTCACCGCATGGAACATGGTATAGTAGACAAAAACCTCTTTTCAATTCCCAACAGTGGACTATTAAAGGTTGTTGATGATTATGCATTGACGTACATTGTACATCATTTTATTGTTCAACAAAAGAGTTAGGGATTAGTTTAATTTTATTTTGTTTACTTATTTAATTTTGTAATTACTTAGTATAGTAGGTCAGGTCATTTGAAAGTATGTGTTTCAAATTCAACTGTCGAAATAGTTGTCATAATTATACGAATATTTCATAATTTAAAATATTTATAAACGTTTTTATTTGTATTAATAGAAATGTCTGACCATTAAATGAAAATGTAGAACATGGTAATAATTATGTATTATTCTGCTTCCTAATATATAAATACTAGTTTAGCCCGCGGTTTCATCCGCTTGTATGTCGATTATGGCGGTCAAAAGTAGCACTTTTACAATATAAGTATCGAAATATCTAATATATAAAATTCTCGTGTCACGGTGTTAAAAGTTGAACTCCTCCGAAACGGCTAGACCGATTTCCGTGAAATTTTTTGTGCATATCGGGTAAGTCTGAGAATCGACCAACATCTATTTTTCATATCCCCTAATTTTTTTTTTGACGAAAAATAATTGAAATAATGTATATGGCAAAACAACGTTTGCGGGGTCAGCTAGTTTATTTATAATATTTGGATATGCGATTTTTAACTATCCAATAATATGATTGTCTAGTTTATTTAGAAATGAGCATAACCTTGACGAATAATTTCATTATTTAACATAATTACAATGCGTGAAAAACTTACCGAAATTAACAAGGTTAGAAGAAACATTACTTAAGATATAATAATAAAATTATAATTGACTCTGTTATGAATAATAGTATACATTTTTATAGCGGAATTTGTAAGATAAGATTTTTATTACATTTAGAGTGGTTGTTTACATAATACAGTAGGGGCTGGATAAGAGATATATAGTAGGTCCGTGTGGTAACGGATCAAGAATACAGAGAGTCGCCACCCCTATTCATCCCGTGGGTGTCATAAGAGCCGACTAAGGGAGATAACTACACAGGACAACACTGCAGAGAAAAGGAAAACTTGACACAAACCCTATAACAACCCGTCTGGCCAGCGTGATATATTAAGCCAAAACCTCCTTTCTAAGGAGAGACCTATGTCCAGCAGTGGACTATTAAAGGCTGTTGATGTGATGATGTGATAGTTGGGGAGCAAGTGATGCTAAAAGGGGATTTAATCGAGCGTCATGGAGACATATTTCATTTGAAAGATTAGTTAATAGAATTAATAAAAGTTTTATAATGTTTCCACTTTCAGCGGTGGCGAACCTTCTACAGGTTTTTAAAAATATAATGGGAGGCAATCGAAAAAGAAAATTGGACGCATTAGATATTTTGCGGATATGTTATTTGGATGCCGAATTCGGACCTTCTCATTCAAAACTCGTCAGTGCCATTGTGTAATTGTACTGCTATCCAGGAAACCCATAACATAAAATATCTAGGGATCGTAAGCGACAATACCCTTTCCTTCAGGACACACATTTAAAGTTAAGTAAATAGAGTTGGTAAATTAATATATGTATTTAAAAAATTGCGAGCTATTGCAGATTTAAAGTTGATCACTCAAGTGTATTTGTCTTCATGTCAATCAATCATCCAATATTTGACTTCACGGATGGCGCAGTAGTTTAAGCGATCGCCACGCCGCTTCCTACTGCGCCAAGTTCAAACCCCACATGGGACGACACTTTGTGTGATCCATAAATTGTTGTTCTAAGTCTGGGTGTTCTTTGTGTCCGTTTCATGTATGTTTGTAAAGTCCACCGCGACACAGGATATATTCCTAATGCGAGAGTTGTCTTTAAAAAAAAATGTATAATCTCATGGGTGGAATATTAAAACTATTATTTTGTCTTTACAAAGAGCTCAACAAGCGATTAGCCTCCCCCGACCTTTCCTATTTCCCACAACTATATTATAAAAATCGTGTAAGGCGATGACTGTCCGCCAGATTCTCATATATCACACAGTACTAAAACAACATACATTAAATTAGCTTGGAGAAATTTTTGCGTTTGTAGTAGTGTATGGTTGTGCGTGTTTCCACTTTCCACTATCAAGTGACGATTTTTTGCTTTAGATTAAAATATCTCGGAAACGGTGCGTCCTAGGCCAAAAATAAAAAAAATTTAAACCCCCCGTAGATCCCCGGAGTTTTAAAAACCTAGTAGAAAGGGAAAAAAATAATAATTTAAATATCGGTCTCTCCTCTTTGAAGTTTCACTTCTATCGTGTGTGAATCGCACACACACCTTTTTTTTTATAAAGTCAAAACCTTTTTCTTTAAAATAAAAACTTGTTTTTATTGAAAACAAAAATCAGAGTGTTGCTAGGGATAAGTATAAAATTAAATAGTAATGTTAGGATATCGAAACATTTTCGTATAGGCCAGAACGATATAGTGGAAACGCGCTCTAAGATCTGAGTAATATACACACCACTACATATGCAAAAATTTCTCGAGACTAATTTCACTGTACTTACCTATCACGCTGATATTTCTAACAAAAGACGAAAAGATATAGTCTGTGCCTCACAATCGAGGCTCAGAGTTTATTCATTCAAATAGATTATTTTCTTTTCTAGGTCATTTTTTATCTAATATATTAAATAGATAGCTAAGTATTTATAAATTAAATTATGTATTAAAAACACATTACATAATTATTTACAAATTTTGTCGTATGAGCAAACTGAGTTACTCGAAATATGTAAATAACAATTTGCAGAACCGTCTTAGTGCATTATTTTTGACCCACTTATCACAGATATTGCTAGTTGCTTATGTAGGCTATTAAAATGTTATAATTAAATTGTAGTTATGTAGATTTATATTGATAAAATATTTTGTAAGCTCTTCTTCGCCCGAGACACAAACGAACCCCTTCCTTAGTCCTTAAGGGAAGGGAGTCCTTCATCAATCATCATCAACAGCCTTTAACAGTCCACTGCTGGACATAGGCCTCTCCTTATAAAGGAGGTTTTGGCCTACTATACCACGCTGGCCAGACGGGTTGGTATAGGGTTTGTGTCAAGTTTTCCTTCTCTCTGCAGTGCTGGTGTCCTGCGTATTTCGCTCCCTTAGTCGGCTCTTACGAATCCCACGGTATGAATAGGGGTGACACTCCGTATTTTTTTTTGATATGGAATAGGGGGCAAACCAGCAGACGGGTCACCTGATGGAAAGCGACAACCGCCGCCCATGAACGCCTGCAACTCAGGAGTCGAGTCATAAGCGCGTTGACGGCCTTTGAAGCCGTTCTTTTCTTGGAGGTCGTATCGGTCCGGAAATACCGCAGACGATAACTTGAAATATGTTGGGGCAAACAAGCAACAACTGTATTTTATTTATAAACTAGCTGAGACCTGCGGTGTTACCCGCGTTTGTTTTTATAACCGCGGGCAACGCCGCGGGGCGAAGCTAGTCTAAAAAAAGTAGCCTAAGTTACTCCTTATGTCATCAGCTATCTGCCAGTGAAAGTCCCGTCAAAATCGGTCCAGCCGTTCCAGTGATTACCCGGAACAAACAGACAGACAGATAGACAGACAAAAATTGTAAAAAATGATATTTTGGTACCGTGTAAACATACATGTGCATTTACTAAAAAGCGGTTATTTTAATATTACAAACACACACTCCAATTTTATTTATTTGTATAGATTAGAGAACCATTCATTATAAATTAATTTACTCTTTTTTTTAAATAAATATTATTATTATTCTGTCGGCGACTCGTCTGGCAGAGAAATGTTTGTCGGAGTTTAATTTCAGAATCGATGAGTACGATCATTTGCTCTGTGTCTGGGTGTTATTGATATACTCGTAATGGATGGAACTATTTTGATAATATTTTACTACCTAAGCTAGCGAAGTAGCTGTATATAGAAGGAGTAACTTAGGCTATTTTTTGTCTCAGAGAAACCCTATAAAATTTTGCCTGGTCCGGGAATCGAACTCACTAAGGCAGCGCTTTTCAAATTCAACGAAGTAGCGGGCACCAGCTAGTTATTATTAATGCTGGTTAACTTTACTCTTGCAGGATATGGTCCTAGTCCTCCTGTAATAAAGAAAAAAAAAACACCATCAACGTATACTTACGAGCAAAGATCCGAAGAGAACACATAAACCACCTCTTGTCCATACTCTGGGGCCCATAACTCTCCAGTAGATCCTCTAACTGCCCCACACTCGTCCCTATAGTCGGTTCTGTTGCTATACCGCCACTGTTCCACGTTGCCCAACTGTGAGAAGTCACCAGCACCGGTATTCATGTTGAAGGAGCCGTCAAATTCAATGGAACCGTTACGCTGTGAACAAACATACAATATGAAAAAAAAATGTCCACTGCTCGACAAAGGTCTCTCAATAAAATGGAGGTTTTGGCCTACGATACCACGCTAGCCAGACGGGTTGGTATCGGGTTTGTGTCAAGTTTGCCTTCTCTTTGCAGTGCTGTTGTCCTGCGTAGTTTGCTCCCTTAGTCGGCTCTTACGAATCCCACGGGATGAGTAGGGGTGACACTCCTATGGAATAGGGGGTAAACGAGCAGACGGGTCACCTGATGGAAAGCGACTACCGCCGCTCATGAACCCCTGCAACTCAGGAGTCAGAAACGCGAGGAAGTACGCTCTTTTCCACATAACTTGTTCCACAGGTTGGTAGTGCGAGGCAAAAAGTGTCTTGAAAAGCGCACAGTGGTAGAGCGCCAATTATCCAAGTGGTGGGAATGAAAATTGTAAAATTGTATTCCTAAACCGTCACAATACAGACAAGATACAAAAATATGCTTTGAAAATGACTACAATAATGCAATATTCTTGGATATTATTACAAAACGATGTCCCAATTTAATTTCCCAATATATGTATATGCGAAAAAATTCACAAGCTTGTTGGTCTAGTGGTTAGTGACCCTGATTGCTAAGCCAGAGGTCGTAGGTTCGATTTCAACCCACGACAAATAATTGTGTGATGAGCACAATCATTTACTCTGTGTCTGGGTGTAATTTATCTATAACTAGCTGACCCGCGCAACTTCGTCTGCGTCTCTCAATAGTAATAAATTTTCTCCGTTTTTGAAACATTATTCATTGGTGCTCCGCTCTTGGTCTTAGCGTGATGATATATAGCCTATAGCCTTCCTCGATAAATGGGCTATCTAACACTGAAAGAATTTTTCAAATCGGACCAGTAGTTCCTGAGATTAGCGCGTTCAAACAAACAAACAAACAAACTCTTCAGCTTTATAATATTAGTATAGATATGTCTGTATTTAGAAATATATAAGTATGTTTATCAGCAGTCTAGTTACCATAGTACAGGCTCTGCCTAGATTGGGATTAGACGGCCGTGTGTGTCATAAGTGAAGTGTAAAGTTTTAATTATTATTATTATAATTATGTTTGAGAAAGTACAGCTTATTGAATTTGGTGCGACAAGACGAGTCTTACGTCACAACGTCACGATGTCATCAGGTATGACGTCGTGACGTTTGATGATTCGATGATCGCAGAGTGAAGAGTGAGGTCTAGACCTAAACCGGGCCAGGCCCACTCTGCGATTACTGTCGCTGGGCTGTACATTCGCATATACATTGGAAGGATAAATCGGGAATCGAACGTGGCTATCGAATGTTTTACTGTCTCGACATATAGGTCTACTAATTGCTTATTAAAAGTACCCAAAATAAAGTGTAATTTATTCTAATACACGTAAAGAATAAGGCACGGACCTACAATAAAGTATACGAATAAAATTGTTCCGTTTTACCTATTAAAGTAAGGTATATGATATTTGTGTACTAATAACCTTTTAAAAATAATATGAAGGACAAATGAAAAATATTTTCCGGCAAAAATATCAATCAAATCAAATATCTTTCCTAAAATTCTTGTAAACTTTTCGTCAATGAATGTTTCCCTACTTTCTTGTTGGCACAATTATTGTTATTCGAACGATGGATTACTTTAAAACAATGTAAATTTATTCCGAGTATATCCGGCCGTTCTACCAAAACGATTGGTTATTTTTTTTTATTACAGGTTATGTAAATGTTTTAATATGAAGCAATGCTAATTATTACCCGTCTCAAGTTATTCTAAAACGGGATTCCTTCTTGTCCGTTTTTATAACGTTATTTATCCATATAGTTTGGGTTAGTTCAAATTGATTCGCGCGCGTGGTTTGTTCTAATAAAACTGAATCGGGGTCTTTTTTTAGGTATTGGCTTGGCAATGAAATTGGTTAAGTTGGAGAAAGGTTGGGTCTTCTATTTGTTACAATAATTATGTAATAAACACGATCATTTGTTCTGTGTCTAGGTGTATTTATCTATAATATGTATAAATATATAAGTATGTTTATGAGCAGTCTTCTAACTGTAGTACAGGCTTTACCGAGTTTGGGAATAGACTGCCGTGTGTGAGATGTGTGAAGTTATTATTATATTAAATTCCAATTAAATTACAATTTCAACACAGAATAGAAATGGAAAATGGATGAAAAACATTGAATAGTTAACTATTCGTGTTGTTACACAAGAGGGAAAGTTTATACGATCGAACCATGAAGGAATGTTGATCGTAACTGCGTGACGCAGCTCATTAACTGCAGTCGCGAGTCTATTTTGTGTTCTAGTCTATCAGGTGGTAAATTCTTAGTAGCTCTCTATCAGCAGTAGATAGTAGTAGCGGCTGACCTGGCCAATATAGCCAAAACAGTATGGGGCAAACGTGCAAACCTGTCACCTGGGTCTCTATTCTATTATTTTATGTTAAGGACAAGGCACTGTCATTCAATTTTATTTCATTTTTCATTTATTTTTTAATAAAACAACTCTCGCATTAGGAATATGTCTTGTATCACATACATGAAACAGACACAAAGAACACCCGAACAATAATTTGTGGATCACAGAAAGTGTCGTCCCATGTGGGGTTTGAACCCACAACAATCAGTGTTGTAGTGAGCGGCGTGGCGACCGCTTAAACCACTACGCCATCCGTGCAGTCAATTGACATGCTATTGAGATGCCATTGACATCGGTCAAAACATCGGTATTCTACTAACATAAATTCACAGTGTCAATAGACTGTCGATATAGTAATATAAGTCATCAATGGTGATATAAACAATGTTGCCATACCTGGTTAATTAAATACATTATTTTCTTACAAATTTAAAATGTACCGTTTACCAAACTGTTACAAAGCCATCGACGACATTTGTATCAGTGACAAGTCATCGAGAGGCGATTGGTCTTACATAGTTAGTAGAATAGCAAAATTGCAAAACTATTTCGACGACATTCCATCGACAGTCTATTGATACGGATACTTTTAACATTTTTTTATATATATTAACATAAACTCCGAAGAAGTTTATCGTGCCGTGACATTGACAAATCGGTCAGACAAGCCGTGTTATGTAAAACATTGCGTAATTAAATTGCACCAGTAACACTGCTATAACGATTTCTAAGAGTTTCATTGCTCTAACTGTTCTGTTGTTCACTTTTTTACTGCTCGAAACCTGAAGAATTAGAGTTCTATGCGAAGTCAATGCAGGTATCATTTGGCAATACCATAACCAAAGGTCAAACACCGGAATGTTTACGTTATTATTTTATAGTATGACGTCATATCATTAGAATATTCATACTTAATAATTGTAAATACAATCATCTATAATTTTAATACTTATAACCTTAAATGCCTTTAAACGTATGACGATGTAAAAAAAAATGGTGGGTTTATTGAAACAAATATCCTTCTATCCGTGTGGTAACGGATTAAGAATACGGAATGTCACCGCTACTATTCATCCCGTGGGTGTCGTAAGAGTCAACTAACAAGGGACCATACTACGCAGGACAACAGCACTGCAGAGAGAAGGAAAACTTGACACAAAACCTATACCAACCCGTCTAGCCGGCGTGGTATAGTAGGCCAAAACCTCCTTTCTAAGGAGAGGCTTATGTCCAGCAGTGGACTATTAAAGGCTGTTGATTGATGATAATATATTCAAATATTAAGCCGGGGCGGGTCGCTAGTATTACATTTAATTACATTAATAACTTTCTATGGAGAGCCTTATGTCCAGCTGTGGACTATATAAGCTGTTGATGTGATGAGAACTTCTAAAGAGAAAGGAGTCTACAGGCCAGGTGGAGTGACGATTTGCGCAAGATGACTGGCAGGAGCTGGATGTGAGAAGCCCAAAATCGATCTAAGTGGCGTGCAATGGGAGAGGCCTATGTCCAGCAGGGGACTGCGATAGGCTGATGATGATGATAAACAGAAATAAAAATAATTAAAAAAAACAGTGATCACACCTTGATAAAAATCTACACAATCAAATCTGATAGTATGAATGAAAGAAAACGCAAACGAGCAGACGCGACCTGATGGTAAGTAACCACCACCGTCCATGGACATCTGCAACCTCAAGTGTCAAGTACTTTACCGCCCTTTAATTCTTACTAGGGTAGGATTTAGAATTCCAAAAGAAACGATAAATAACTCAATTAATTCATCATCATGATCAACAGCCTTTACTAGTCCACTTCTGGTATTTCCATGACCTCTCCTTAGAAAGGAGGTTTTGGCTAACCGCTGGCCAGACTGGTTGGTATAGGGTCTGTTGCGGCCCGGGTGGACGGGATGGGTTCTCCTCTCTACCCGCATTAGTTTGGCCAGCCGCGAGGGGGCGGCGTCCGCGTGTGCCGGACGTCGCCTAAGAGAGGTCTTTGAGACGGAGCCGCGCCAGGAGCGGACCCCTCCTAAACTGGAAGCGCAAAGAGGGCACACCGTGTGGTTTTAGTCGGTTCGAGTCCGACACACCGCCCCGCCGAACGAGAGCCCCGGCGGGGTGACGGTCCGAGGGGATTTCCACACGTTAAAAAAAAAAAGGGTCTGTTGCGGCCAGGCACTGGGAGGGGTCCGGATGTCTTAATATCAGCTGTTCCTTGACCCCTCCTATCTCAGGCGCGGAGTGGCACACCGTGTGGTTTTAGTCGATTCGATTCCCACCCACCATCACGCTGCAAACCTCGGTGGGCTAAGGGCCGAGGGGTTTACACACGTTAAAAAACAAAAAAAGGGTTTATTTCAAGTTTTCCATCTCTTTTTAGTGCTGTTGTTTTGCGTAGTTTTCTCCCTTAGTCGGCTCTAACGACACCCACGGGACGAATAGGGGTAGTGACACTCCGTATTCTTTCTTAACCCGACACCACATGGACACGTTTAATTAACTGAGGTTTATATGTTATTATCTCTGTTATTATAAATAAACTATGTACGTACAAAGTTCAAAGTTTATGTGAATCACTTTTAACGACTACACTAGGGACATTATTTTAATGTAAACACAATCAAAAGTGAATAACTTGGTCAAGATGATCACAACACTACTAGTGACAAAATTTGTGACTGATTATTACGTGTTTCTAACTTAGTAAATGACAATGTCCGTGTAGTGACGGATTAAGAATACGGAATGTCACTACCCCAATTCATCCCGTGGGTGTCGTAAGAGCCGACTAAGGGCGCAAAACAATGCAGGACACCAGCACTGCAAAAAGAAGGAAAACTTGACACAAACCCTATCCAACCCGTCTGGCCAGCGTGGTATAGTAGGCCAAAACCTTCTTTCTAAGGAGAGGCCTATGTCCAGCAGTGGACTATTAAAGGCTGTTGATGTGATGATGATGATGTGAAATGACAAACTTCTATACAAGGGTTAATCCCTTATTTTACACAGTTAAGAGAAAGGTTCCCAAAAATCTTTTCTTAGTGGGTGCTTACAGCATTAAAAACGTCAGCTGCCAAAATTTCAAGTTTGTAGCGGTTTATGGATGGATGAATCACTCAGTCAGTCAAGTTTTTGGTCGGTTCGAGTCCAACATAATCATCCCACTGGTGGGTGGTATCCGAGGGTAGTTCGCATAGGATGAAAATTAAAAAGTGGAACATAAAAACTGTTAAATCATATTCATTTGCTAAAATGATTGGGATTTGGGAAAAACCACGCAGAACAACAGCACTGCAAAGAGAAGGAAAACTTGACACAAACCCTATACCAACCCGTCTGGCCAGCGTGGTATAGTAGGCCAAAACCTCCTTTCAAAAGGAGAGGCTTATGTCCAGCAGTGGACTGTTAAAGGCTGTTGATGAAATGATTGGGTTTAGTCACAGAGATTGTGATTTCGATACATATGATTATGATTACGTCATGGACAAAGATAAATACCATTAAGATCAATCAACATTCTTTTCATCAAAGATTACCATTTTTGTTTAGATTTAAAACTTTCGCGAGTCCTGCGCTAGCGTAATAATAATAATAAGTCACAGTGGTTCCGTGAATTAATCATAGTTGATATATGATTCGTAAATCATATGATTTTTCAAAACTTATTGTGATTTTATGCCATCCCTAATGTTAAGCAGTTCTTTATCGAGGAACTAAAGTTACCAGGGCCCAAGCCCAGGAGGAGTTTGGGACCCGGTAACTTCACTCACTCTGATTCTAGGGGGAAGACTGGTAAGGGCGTCAACGCACTTGTGATTCTTGAGTTGTAGGTGTCCATGGGCGGCGATAGCCACTTACCATCAGGTAACCCATCTGCTTGTCTACCCTCTTATGCAATCCATACTTTATAAAATCGAAAGATTGTCTGTCTGTTATCTCTTCACGCTCAAACAAATGGCTGAACCGTAAATCGGTTGTAAATGTAAATTTAAATGATGAAATTTGGTATAGAGATAGTTTTGGTCAAAGACATAGGGTAATTTTTATGCTAGAAATCATCCTTTAGGGGGGAACAGGGGGGTGGAAGTTTGTAGGGGGAATCAATAGCCGCTGAACCGATTCAAATGAAATTTGGTATGAAGATTGTTTGATTGATTCTTGAAGCAGTACATAGGCTAAAAACGTATTATTCTTCCCTTGAAAATAGCCATATATTTCATCATCATCATCAACAGCCTATACTAGTCCACTGCTGGACATAGGCCTCTCCTTAGAAAGGAGGTTTTGGCCTACTATACCATGCTGGCCAGACGGGTTGGTATAGGGTCTGTTGCCCTGTTTTTTCATGGGCCCCGTCGTGGTCCACCCCCTGGCGCCTCCATCGTGGTCAACTCGGTCCTCGTACCGGTTCGGGCCCAGATGAAATATCTGGGCCTGATCCTCGACGGGAGGTGGCTCTTCGACGAGCACTTCCGACAGCTTGCTCCAAAGCTGGTCGGCGCTGCGTCTGCCCTAGGGCGACTTTTGCCCAATATGGGTGGACCCAGCGTCGCGACAAGACGGCTGTACACGGGGGTTGTCCGGTCAATGGCACTGTACGGTGCACCGGTGTGGGCGGCGGCTCTGACCGCCCAGAATAGGGTACGCCTCTGGCGCCCTCAGAGGGTAATGGCGGTCAGAGCCATACGCGGTTACCGCACCGTTTCGACGGAGGTGGCGTGCGCGTTGGCCGGAACTCCGCCGTGGGATTTGGAGGCGGAAGTGCTCGCCGAAGTTTATCGGCGAGTGGCTGACTACCGGGCGGAGAGCGGATTTCGCCCTCCGCCCGAGGATGTGCGCGAGTGGCGCGAAGCCGCTCGCCGAGCCACGATGGCTCGTTGGTCGTTCCGGCTGGAGACTCCACGCGCTGGCTTCGCCGCCGTGGAGGCTCTCCAGCCGGTCATCGCCGAGTGGGCAGGGCGGCAGCACGGGACCCTTTCCTTCCGACTGACGCAGGTGCTTTCCGGGCACGGTTGCTTCGGAAAGTACCTGCACACGGTCGCTAGGAGGGAACTGAGTCCCGCCTGCCAACCACTGCGACTGCAGTGAGGACTCGGCCCAGCACACGCTGGCGGTCTGCCCCGCATGGGCGGCGCAGCGCCGGGCCCTCACTGCAGTCATCGGAGTGGATCTCTCGCTACCGGCCGTAGTACGCTCCATGGCCGGTAGCGACAGTTGTTTTACCGCGGTCGCAACCTTCTGCGAGGTAGTAATCTCGCGGAAGGAGGCGGCGGAAAGGGCCCGGGAGGACGACCTCCACTCGGACCCGATCCGCCGCCGGCGAACCGGGCGGCGGAGGCCCGCCTACCACAGCCTCATGCCGCCCTGAGTGTGGCCGCGGGTGGACGGGGTGGGTTTCCCCTCCACCCGCATTAGTTGGCCAGCCGCGAGGGGGCGGCGTCCGCGTGTGCCGGACGTCGCCTAAAGAGAGGAACATCTACAATGAGACGGAGCCCGCACCAGGAGCGGGCTGGCGCTAGGAGGGGTCCGGATGTCTTAACAACAGCTGTTCCCGGATCCCTCCTGTTACAGGCGCAGAGTGGCACACCGTGTGGTTTTAGTCGGTCCGAGTCCGACACACCACCCCGCCGCAAACCCCGGAGGGGTGACGGTCCGAGGGGATTTCCACACGTTAAAAAAAAAAAAAAAAAAAAAAAAAAAGGGTCTGTTTCAAGTTTTCCTTCTCTTTGAAGTGCTGTCGTCCTGCTTAGTTTGCGCCCTTAGTCGGCTCTTACGACACCCACGGGATGAATTGGGGTGGTGACAATTTGTATTCTTAATCCGTCACCACACGGACTACCATATATATATATAAATATATATATTATATATATATATATATATAAAATATATATATAAAAGTAAAATAATAACTCACCCCATAAAACCATCCAAATTTATCATAAGGTACTACGAATGGTAGATCTGGCAGGTCAGCAGCCAGGCTCAATATCGGGTCCTCTATACCGTCGAATATCCAAGACGAGACGTTGGCTGATAAAAACATATTTTCGTGGACTCCTCGCAGGATGAAGTCAAGGGCTGCTCTCAATTCAAAAGACCGATGACGCATTACGTACCCCACTGTCTGTGGATAAAACAAAATAGTTTTTTAAATATTTCCAGTTTAAGGTTGGGGGAGACAGCGAGCGAGGTTCCGGATGTCTTAATAACAGCTGTTCCCGGATCCCTCCTATTACAGGCGCAGAGTGGCACACCGTGTGGTTTTAGTCGGTCCGAGTCCGACACACCACCCCGCCGCAAACCCCGGTTTAAAAAAAAAAAAAAAAAAAAAAAAAGACAGCGAGCGAGGTTGCCGGGCGGTTATTACATGATACACTTATACTCGTAACTGGCCTGTTGGTGTGACCCTGTCTGCTAAGCTAGAAGCTGTGGGTCGATTCCTACCGAGGACAAATCATTCTGTAATGAGCAAGATCATTTGTTCTGTGCTGGGGTGTAATTTATCTATAATATGTATGTGTTTAGAAACATTTAAGTATGTTTATTAGCGGTCTGGTTACCATAGCACAGGCTCTGCCTAGTTTGGAATCAGATTGCCGTGTGTGAGATGCGTTAAAATATTATTTATCTGCAAGGAATACTAAATTCTTGTTCGATTTACTTTATGCGTTCACTAACTTTGCCACCGGCCGCCCTCGCTCACTATTTAGTTATCTCTTATTTCTACCTTTGAAAATGACGAACATACAACCGTTCATCCTTTATTGTTCCCCCCCTTTTTTTTGGTTGAATTGTGAAAGATCCTTCCGGATCTCCTGCTCCTCGGGGACTCAGGAGTATCTTGTAATTGCACTAAAAACTACCCGACGGCAGGCCCTACTCTAGGAGGACCCGGACCATGTTATTTTAGGTCCTCCCCGAATTGATACCATGCCTAATCAGGCCCTATCACAGGGGAAAACACTCCCCCCCCCCCCTCAATCGCAACGTGGTGGCCCAATTGCGTCTTATTGCAATCAGGCCGCCATTCTATCCCCTACCGCAGCAATCAATCTGCCACCAGAGGTCCCCACTCTCTGGTGGCCCGCGCCCCGTCGACGGCTAGTATCGTCGCCGACGTCCTCTACGTTCGGGATCGGCCCTCAGCCGGCCGTTCAGCAGTCTCTTTCTGGTGCATTACAACTTCACAAAAGACCACTGCGCCCCATCCCTCCTCACCCACCAGCATGGCAGCAATGGTTGCTGGCGCGGGGACAGGTCTAGATGTAAAAGTTCGAAAATTTATTTCTTAGAGGGGACTCACAACATAAAAAGTATGAGCTGCCAAAATCCCAAGTTTGTAGCCCCAGTTTAGTCTCTGCATTGAAGAATCAGTTATACGGGGCATTTTCTTTCTTTAATCCGCTTTAGGAACATATCCTGTGTCGCGGGGGACTTTACAAACATACATGAAACGGACACAAAGGACACCCAGACTCAGAACAACAATTTGTGGATCACACAAAGTGTCGTCCCATGTGTGGTTTGAACCCTCAACACTCGGCGTAGTAGGAAGCGGCCTGGTGACCGCAACCACTACGCCATCCGTGCAGTCTAAATATTCTTGCAGTCTAAATATTCTTTATGTTATATAGATAAACATTAGCTCGACTGAGCTAACGAGAATTAGATTTATTAAAGACAGGAGTTTGTATTTAACTGCCTCGGTGGTGCAGTGGTAACGTATGCTACTGCTGTGCTGAGGTCTCGGGTTCGATCCAAGGGTAGGACCAAATGTTTGTATAATCTGCAAAAATTTTTGTTTCGCGAGTTTGGATGTTTTTTATGAATAATTACATACAAGTATTCTATCAGTCAATCTAGATTTTATAGTACAAGCTCTGTTTAGCTTGAATACTAGATGGCGTTGTCTGTCAGATGTCCTAAAAAATATATTATTGTTCATCAACTTACGACAACGATAGGATTGACGCTGGTGATCACATCTGATAAGGAGCCGACTGACTTGTGCTCCTCAAAGTACCAATGCCGCTGGTTGTAGAAGGTAATAGTGCTGTTGTCATTCCACGTCAGGTTAGTCTGTAGAAAAAATAAAGAATTAATTAAAATGTATCATCACCGACTTTAATGCCGGCAAGTATACGACGGCCGGGTGGCGTAGTGGTTTGTGTAACGGACTGCTACGCCAAAGGCGGCGAGTTCGATTCCCGCTCAAGTCAAACATTTGTGTACCTGAACATTCAATTTTTGATTAGGTCTGAATATTTCTATGTTTGGGACTAGATGACTTTGTGGGTATGTGGTAGAATAGAAAAAATATTATTATATATTTGACGGGCCTGTTGGTCTGGTGGTTAGTAACCCTAACTGCTAAACCGGAGGTCGTGGGTTCGATTCCCACCCAGAACAAATATTTGTGTGATGAGCACGATTGTTTGTTCTGTGTCTGGGTGTAATTTATCTATAACATGTATGTATTTAGAAATATATAAGTATGTTTATCAGTAGTCTGGTTACCATAGTACAGGCTCTGCCTAGTTTGGGATCAGGCAGCCGTTTGTGAGATGTGTGAGGTTTATTATTATTATTAATTCATGATGAACTGTAATAATCTGTTTATTTCTTAATTTTCCACCCTTAGGGGTAGTATTTTCTTTTTAAATTCACGTAAGATCAAATGGAAGGAAAAAAATCCTCCTAAATTCCAAAAGGACTTTCCATATATACATATATGAACGCAATGATGAAGACACGAATGGTTATTCTGATGACTCCATCAACAATTCTCCATAGAGCTTGCATACTCTGATCTTAAAGGTCCTTCGATTATTCGGTGTATTCGTTATTAACCCGCAAACATAACACTTACAACATAAAAGCACTAGCTAAACTCTGCGTCGATGAATCAATCAGTCAGGGCAAGTTATTTAATCACATCATCATCATCATCAACAGCCTTTTAATAGTCCACTGCTGGACATAGGCCTCTCCTTAGAAAGGAGGTTTTGGCCTACTATAAAACGCTGGCCACACGGGTTGGTATAGTGCAACAGCTGTTGGTCCGGATGTCTTAACAACAGCTGTTCCCGGATCCCTCCTGTTACAGGCGCAGAGTGGCACTACGTGTGGTTTTAGTCGGTCCGAGTCCGACACACCACCCCGCCGCAAACCCCGGTGGGGTGACGGTCCGAGGGCATTTCCACACGATAAAAAAAAAAAAAAAGTGCAACAGCTGTTCCCGGATCCCTCCTACTACAGGCGCAGAGTGGCACACCGTGTGGTTTTAGTCGGTTCGAGTCTGACACACCACCCCGCCGCAAACCCCGGTGGGGTGACGGTCCGAGGACATTTCCACACGTAAAAAAAAAAAAGAAAAAAGGGTTTGTGTCAAGTTTTCCTTCTTTTTGCAATGCTGTTGTTCTGGGTAGTTTGACGACACCCACGGGATGAATAGGGGTGGTGACACTCTGTATTCTTAATCCGTCACCACATTGTTATTTAATATGTATAGATTAAATACGTGTATAGATATTATTATCATGTACATTATCAACGATTTAACGATAATATTTATCGCTACATTCATTACTAAAGAGAGAGTAAATAACCTTTGTGAGGCCACTTATATACCATAATTAGCAATAAAACTATGTTCGGATTTTATTTAGTGTTTACATGGCACGCGTATTTCGGGCGTTGAACGTGCGTTTTTGTGCCGTAAAACAGTCGAAATAAGGCAATGAAGGTTTATTTGTGTTTTCTACGGAAAAGACACACACACATATAGTTTTAATACACCATTTTCGATATTTCAATTTTAATACCACAATTTTGTTTAACAAGTTCTCTTCCACGTTGCTTATTACAATGTAACACGTTTTACTAAAAAAAATCTCATATGTCAGACTAAATTCGATAAAAAAAAATTAAAGCTAAACCACAACGCCATTCGTGCAAGGTATTAAATACGAGTATACATATAGTTATGCTTATATTAAAGTAAAAACCAAATCATGTTTTATATATTTCGTATCCCAGCGTAGGCGACCGGCCTAGTTATATTATCTCATCAAATGACTGGATGTTCAGCAAATAAAGTAATATAGTAACAATACAATTGACTGGCCTTTTGGCCTAGTGGTTAGTGACCCTGATTGCTACGCCATAAGTAATAGGTTCGATTCCCACCCTAAACAAATAATTGTGTAATGAGGATGGTCATTGGTTCTGGGTCTGGGTGTACTTTATCTATGATATGTATGTAGATAGAAATATATAAGTATGTTTATCAGCAGTCTGGTTACTATAGCACAGGCTCTGCCTAGTTTGAGATCAGACGGCCGTGTGTGAAATGTGTGAAAAATATTATTATAAAAAAATACATAGAACTCATAATCGCAGGGGTGTTTGGAGTCACCAGGGACTTCCTTTCTAGGGTATACCTGGTTCCCCGGCTATTAGTACCCGGCGACGGCGTGCGGTTTTAGTCGGTTCGAGTCCGACATGCCACCGACAGGTGGTATCCGAGGGGATTTCCGCACGGAAAAAAAAAAAAAAAAGAAAAAAAAAAAAGGGGTGTATGGAATTCCCCGGCTATTAGTACCCGAGACGGCGTGCGGTTTTAGTCGGTTCGAGTCCGACATGCCACCGATAGGTGATATCCGAGGGGATTTCCGCACGGAAAAAAAGAAAAAAAAAAGAAAAGGGGTGTATGGAATGGCAAAGAGATTTTTTTTTTTTACCAAGCTTTAAATGGAGGCCTGATACAGACCTAAAGTCATCTTTTTTATGTACTACTACCGCCCATAGACAACTGTAATTCACAAAAGAGTGCCAAAGCCCCCATAATTAAAGGAGGTTAGTCGAATTGTCTACCTCGGGCATGAAAACTTGCCCTCTTCTAGTCCAGATGTAAACCCACTGGAGTACAAGATCAACCTTATCAGAATTTGGAGTCTCTCCGAGCATGTCTGGTTAAAAGAAAGCAGAAGTAGATATCAATGCGGTGTGTGCTGCGGTCGATGACTAGCCTCGTAGATTAAGGACATATTTTCAAAACGGGGAAAGCATTTGAAATAATGAAATTAAAATTGTATTGTACATTTCATTACCTGTTATTTCATAATCATCAAATTTTTAAACAATGATCAAAAACTGTATCATTAATTACATTAAAAGTTTTTGACAGAATTTATGGCCTGACTAAGTATACAATAAAATAATATATAATTACACATTTTAGTACAACTTTTAGAGATTACGATAAAGAAAATGTAGTATTTTTTTTATTGTTTCGCTCCATAAAACAACATAAGTTTATATTCCGTGGTGATATGAACACATGTTTTGTTGATGTTAACTCGATAGAGTTGTCAATCGTTCAAATTGAAGACTTATCAAAATTGACTTGTCAAAAAGAAAATAGAAGCATTCATAGAGTATAGTCACCTCGTCAATCAAGAGCCTTTAGTAGTCCACTGCTGGACATAGGCCTCTTCTTAGAAATGAAGTTTTTGCCTACTATACTATGACCAGACGGGTCAGCCAACCCGTTGTTGTGACACTCCGTATTCTTAATCCTTAAGAACACGGACGATATAGTCACCTATTGAGTGATATTTAATCTCTATAACAAGAGAGAAAGAGGAGTATTGTTTTGTTATGGAACTGAGAACTATTCGCTTTGAAGCTACGAATGAATTTGATTGTTATTTTAACTTACGAATTTAAAAGACATTGTTCTCGAGATAATTGTATGACATAATTCAACTTTGCAGCAGCCATGCTTCGGGACAAAGACCGAAGTGATACCACCGTCTCACAGAAAACCCTTGTTACGCAGGTCAGTCCAGAGCCCCTCTCCCTTCTCCTTCATTCTGAGAAAAAGCACTCAAAGGAAAGCACTTGTGTCTTGCAATTCTTAAGTCGCCCTTGTAAATTGCCGCCAATAGTAGTAATAGTGACGTGTTTTATCCTTATCAAGACTATTAATAATAAATAATTTTATTTCATCATAATCCAGTGTTCCTTATAATGTTACGGTATTATCAAATCAGTTATCGCAATAAATACAAAGATCGCTTTAAAAACGCTATCTATAACATTTTTATAAATCGTCGTGGTTATAAAACAACAAGGAATTAAAATAAGCCTTTTAATGATAATTTGTACGACGACAGAAGAATGTTCTCGGTCGGACTCGTATGTTTAAACAGTATGATTTAGCATTATTTTTACCCGAGTGCCAAGGAAAGGTTGTGATTTTCGCATGTAAAAAACAAAATGGCAGATTTTTGGGGCAAAATAGTAATAGGTTCATTAGAAAATAACCAAACCTATCGAGTAGGGTATCAAAATCAAGACAAATAAAGGGGGATTACAGAAATATATATGTTATATATTTAAATTTAATTAGGAATAATAAATTGGTTTAAAAAGGGTATGTTAGCGTAAATATGGGTCATATTTGCGTCAGACCTCGTGTTGTTTCGGTCTTTTTTAAAGCATTACTTTAAAATTGTCTTTTTGCAGTCAGGTTTTGATTTTTTAAATTATTGCCTTGTTACAGTGTAGATAGATTCGGACTGCATAGATGGCGTGGTGGTTTAAGCAGTCACCTCGCCGCTTCCTAATGCGCTGAGTGTTGTGGGCTCGATCCCCACACGGGACAACACATTATGTGATCCACAAATTGTTTCCCGAGATCCAAAAATTCCTAGTGCGGGAGTTGCCTTTTTATAAAAAATCATATGTATTTTAAGATTCTGTATTCATTCGGTATGTACGTTTACGTTACAGTCAGAACTTAACCAATCAATAAGATAAGTAAGTAAGTGAGTAAGATCCCCTCTATTTTAGGTGTGGTTTGTTCTCATTAGTTCCATCCACCAGGGCCTCAATTCTGCTATTACTCTGCTATTACTAATTATGTTCACGCCAAGCCACTGTCATACCACTGACACGCTATTGAGATGCCATCGAGTGGCCATTGGCATCGGTATAAATATCGGTAGTCTACTCTAACTCAGTGTCTTTACAGTGGCGATGGAATGGCAGTGGCTCATCAGTGCTGATATCAA